TGGAGAATCACTGACACTGCTGAGATTAATATTACATTTTGAATCCTCTACAGCACTGAGTCTTTTTGTAAGCAATACTCGTTCCTTTATAGATGAGACTTTGCGATGTTTAGGGTTTCGTGGATCAAAGTCAATGTTTTGCAACCATGTGTATGTTCTTTTTCTCTCCTTACTTGCTGGTGGCTTGCTTTTGGAAATCAACAGTTGATCTACCGAACAAGGCTCACTGCATGATTGTGGTTTCGGCATCCACAAGCAAGGACCACTGGTCACACTTTTATCTCCATCTGGGTTTAACAGTGCCTCCAAAGAGTACATTGCAGCTGAAATGTGTTTGCAACCCCCGTCCCTAGCACCCTTACATTTACAAAATGCATCCAGCACACTTCCTCTGTTTGCCCCTCGACCTTCCAGAATAAACCACAAGGAATAACAGTCTTTTCCATCATCGGTTTTTGCTCGCATGGTTGGTTGAACTTGGCCAATATATACATGTACCCCAGCTTCTTTTAAAGTTAATGTTTCCAAAGAACGTACATAACCATCTTGAAAGAGCCGGTAGTCTTCAAACGACTTGTAAGCAGCTAGGCCTTGTTTGTCATATTCAGTGGCATGATATATCAGGTGGTTAAAAATGTCGTATAGCCCAAACGGTGGAGAGTCAATAAAATCGTTTATTGTCTTCATTGTAAAGGGATCGCCAATCTGAATATCATGAATATTTAATTTTTGTTTCATTGTATACGTATCATTTACCCTTTCGAAGTTGGGATCGAGGGGTAACATCATCTTTTCAACTGCAACTGCGAGTTCGACCAGACCAGGCTTTAGATAGCCATTTACACTTACGCCACGCTCTTGCAAATATTTCTTTATCGCCGCTACGCTCATTGCCTTAAAGTTGGTATTTTTTTCTCCAGACATTGTATTTCTTGTTTACAACGACGCTATATGCGTATTACTTTGATTTCGCGAAGAAACAGTCTTAAAGTTTTGATGTATAGTGTGATCGCCTATTTATTTATATATAGTAATGGCCGCGAAGTGTCCGCATTTCGCGCTTTTTGACCACGTGACACTACACGTGTTTCTAGGTCTGAAGTCGCAGATTACAGACATCAGTGAAACAAGATGACACTACTCGTACCCGTACACCGAAACCGGGGTATCTTAACCTCTCTAATATCTTTTACACCGACTGATCTATCAAACGAAGGATGTGGTTTTAATGAACTGAAGTATATCCTTTCCGATATCCAAAACAAAGGATTTATTTTATAAAGAGACCTTTTGATTTCCCAAACGTCTCCAACTGTGTGCAAACCATGATGCTATCCTGTCTGTGAAAGCACAATATTAAAACCCGTTATGGACCGTAAAGGTTCCTGCATCGACATTGCTGAAACTCAACGATCAAGAAGGTATAAGGCGAGGGTAAATGGCTTTAGAATTTTATAGGAGATATTGTCTACAATATTTTGGCTTCAACATACAGGTACTCGTGCAGACAAAAAAGGAAAAGCATACAAACATCATATTCACCTGAGTACATAACACCAACACAGAAAAAAAAAAATGTTTACTAGATTGCATTAATATCGAACGAATTAGACTCAGTTCCGAAATATCACATACTCGAACCGACCTGACCGCGTAGCTCAGTTGGCAGAACATATTGGGCTTGTATTCCAAAGGTCGTAGATTCGATTCCCACCGTGGCCAGGGATATTTTTCAAGCGTGCCCGGTGTCAAGCGAAAATCCTGACCTCTGCGAAATACCTGACCAAGCGTGACGGGTCAGAAATTTCGCGCGTGCAGGCGCGAAATATATGACGTTTGCTAAATTCTAAGTCGGCCAAAACTGTTTTTTAGAGTTTAGATAAAATAATCATACACTCGGAGTAACATCACAAGCATCATATTCACCTGAGGACATAACACCAACACAGAAAAAAATCAAGTTATAGAATCAATAGAATGGATATTCAATGTCTATTTGGCTAGTGCCCAAATGTGTAACGTTTGCTCACCAGTACTTTGCTGAAAGACCTTCAAGCTACGACCTATCTAATCACATAGTATAAGAAAATTATAATTATCTGAACCAGAGACAGAGCAGAAACGCGTGAAATGGAACTGCGCCCAAGCCCTGAGAGAACATAAGAACAATTTCAAAGCATACGTTCATACGCAATCTCGTTCCCCGAGCATGCCCGTTCGCAAGTTAAGGGTGGCCACTCTTAACCTGCGAACGAGCATGCTCGGGGAACGAGATTGGTTCATACGTTTTTATTGCTTGATTTCTTGACGTGTCTGCTGCTATAAAAATCTGTTTAGCATGTTCTTATTGTTCAAAAACAAACAGAAACCAAATTTAACAAATGTATATGACCCTCAAAGTTGATTGTACAGAACACTCAGAAGCGAAATGTAAAGTACGAAAGTGGAAGTATGTAATATGAGACTTTTCCCTCACCCACTTAGGCTATTGATTTTTTATGGGCCAACTCCGACCACGGCGACCAGGGTTTTTTCACGGCGACCAGGGTTTTTTTTTAGGCTGGGAACGAGTTTGTTCATTCCATAGGACACGCTTTTTCATTCGATCAAATGTTGATATCTTATTGGGCACAACTTTACAATATATCAAGCTTGAGCAGATATTATTCAATACGCCATTTTATGTAAATACACATGTGCTTTTGCCCAAATTTAAAATTTTCTCACACCCATGACTCGTCTTCGTTTTTCATAATAAATCCAAACTAGTTTAATACCACTGGTACGGTGTAGTCATTTTCATTACAAGTTTAAATTATCTACACCGGGGCGAGGGTACTAATTCCGCCCGGCTGTTTACACCCGGGGAAAGGAAAGCATTAGCGAAGTCGAAAGTTCGTCAATAATCGCGGGTTCATGGGTGTATGGGTAGTCATTCGGGACACGCACATTATGCCGGCATTAATTTCTTTTAGCATAATAGGGAACCCTTTTGAGATCGAGCATAATAGGCAAAAAGCGAGCACAATAGGCAAACGTTTCGGAATGAGTCATTCTCTGGTCATCTGCTGTACAGAAGGTATTCCTGGTGCAGCCTTCATCTGGAACAGCTGAGTGAGTATTCTCGTTGCTAGGTCAAACATTTGGCGACCAGCAACAGAACGCGTTAGAGGACGTTGTTGAGGCCTCTGTTATGTTGCAATATAACAAACGTTAAGTTACTTTAATTTATGTTAAATTAAATAAAGTTCTTGTTTTTATCCTCGTCGCCAATATAAAGTTGTATCTTTTTACTTAGACTGATATAACTCTTAATACTATGAACTCAAACTATCACCGTGCTATTCAATAACATTCCTAGTGTCCGCTACTTCATGTGTCCATTTCCACGTGACCCAGCTCATGTCTGTTTCCCGCCTTTATAGACCAATTGCGAAACTTAGTGGCCGCGCCTTCATACTGCACGAGAACGAGGCTTATTATGCAAAAACAAAACAATTTCTATAATTTTACATAGCGAAAAGTGAATTTTAGGGTTTTTAAAGTATTTTTTCTTGAATCTCTTTGATCTTTTCTTAATATTTCGTGCTAGGTTATATAAATATTTGTTAAATTTATCTAAACATCGATTTCCCACTATTTTTTTACCCGCTTTGGAGAGATATTTCGTTGTTGTTTTAGCATGCGATGGAACAAACATATGGAAAAGATCAATCTAGACTTTAAAATCTGATCAAGATGCAAATAGAATAGCCAGTATAACTTAAAGATGCGGTAAAGTCCGTTCTGCGCATATATTCTGCGCATCAAAACATTCCATCAGTGGGGGAGCAACACCGCGGAAAAACGTCTGCGCATGCGTCAACCTTACCTGTAATAGTATTGCGAACTTGATGAGAAGCTGTTCCGAACGTTTCCGAAGGCTCAAAATGGCGGTAAAAAGGAGTGACTTCATTGTGCGTCTTTACAGCCAGATTTCGAGCGCAAAAATAAACATGTCATTCTAAAAACTAGGAATAAATACAGCCAGAAGGTTCAAGAAATTGTATTGAACAGGAACATGAACTAAAGGTGATTGTTGACAAATTTATCGTCTGAAACATTTTGTTTATCAACTAAGCAACGACAATTTCCGAATTTTCGTTTGAGATACATTTCTTTAAAAAAACTGTGTCGCCAAATATAAAAAATTTTCGTGTTCACAATAATTAAACTTTAGGATTTATTCTACAATTTGAGTGGGTTAAGAAGCTTAACTTTTCGAGAGTTTTCTTAACTTTTGAGTTTGAATTTTTGTTTTGAATAATTTTGCAAAAATTTTCGAAGTCGTGTCCGTTAAAATCAACATTTTTTTACATGAATTATATTTCATTCCATACTTTAAATGCCAGGACGCTTTCAATTAAAGTCTAGTCTACCCATTTGCTATATTTTCTCGTTTGTTTTACTAATTTTTGACCAATTAATAAGCATGTTTTTGTTTTAGAAATTGATATTCAAATTCCAACACCGCGGAAAAACGTCTGCGCATGCACCAAATTATGAAAATATGGCGGGTAATTTGAATATCAATTTCTAAAACAAAAACATGCTTATTAATTGTCAAAAATTAGTAAAACAAACGAGAAAATATAGCAAATGGGTAGATTAGACATTAATTGAAAGCGTCCTGGCATTTAAAGTATGGAATGAAATATAATTCATGTAAAAAATTGTTGATTTTAACGGACACGACTTCGAAAATTTTTGCAAAATTATTCAAAACAAAAATTCAAACTAAAAAGTTAAGAAAACTCTCGAAAAGTTAAGCTTCTTAACCCACTCAAATTGTAGAATAAATCCTAAAGTTTAATTATTGTGAACACGAAAAATTTTTATATTTGGCGACACTGTTTTTTTAAAGAAATGTATCTCAAACGAAAATTCGGAAATTGTCATTGCTTAGTTGATAAACAAAATGTTTCAGACGATAAATTTGTCAACAATCACCTTTAGTTCATGTTCTTGTACAATACAATTTCTTGGACCTTCTGGCTGTATTTATTTCTAGTTTTTAGAATGACATGTTTATTTTTGCGCTTGAAATCTGGCTGTAAAGACGCACAATGAAGTCACTCCTTTTTACCGCCATTTTGAGCCTTCGGAAACGTTCGGAACTGCTTCTCATCAAGTTCGCAATACTATTACAGGTAAGGTTGACGCATGCGCAGACGTTTTTCCGCGGTGTTTATATTAGCTAGAATTTGTTATTAGATATGTGCAGTAAAAATGCGCAATGAAAAACTGATGAATCACAGGCTTTGATAACACCGCGGAAAAACGTCTGCGCATGCGTCAACCTTACCTGTAATAGTATTGCAAACTTGATGAGAAGCTGTTCCGAACGTTTCCGAAGGCTCAAAATGGCGGTAAAAAGGAGTGACTTTATTGTGCGTCTTTACAGCCAGATTTCGAGCGCAAAAATAAACATGTCATTCTAAAAACTAGGAATAAATACAGCCAGAAGGTTCAAGAAATTGTATTGTACAAGAACATGAACTAAAGGTGATTGTTCACAAATTTATCGTCTGAAACATTTTGTTTATCAACTAAGCAACGACAATTTCCGAATTTTCGTTTGAGATACATTTCTTTAAAAAAAACTATGTCGCCAAATATAAAAAATTTTCGTGTTCACAATAATTAAACTATAGGATTTATTCTACAATTTGAGTGGGTTAAGAAGCTTAACTTTTCGAGAGTTTTCTTAACTTTTTAGTTTGAATTTTTGTTTTGAATAATTTTGCAAAAATTTTCGAAGTCGTGTCCGTTAAAATCAACAATTTTTTGCATGAATTATATTTCATTCCATACTTTAAATGCCAGGACGCTTTCAATTAATGTCTAGTCTACCCATTTGCTATATTTTCTCGTTTGTTTTACTAATTTTTTACCAATTAATAAGCATGTTTTTGTTTTAGAAATTGATATTCAAATTACCCGCCATATTTTCATAATTTGGTGCATGCGCAGACGTTTTTCCGCGGTGTTGGGAGCAACCTTTGGAATGTTGTTAATATTTCGCACCTTCCGAACTTTCTTGAATTGAATCTCTAGTCTGTATTCATTTACAAGCATAACGAACCAGAAAAGTGTTAAAAATTCAGTATAATATATATCTAATCGTATTTTACAACTGTAGCACTGAGTTCAAAATGTAAACAAAGCGTTTGTTTACATTACGGACTTTACATCACCTTTAAATTCTTATATTTCACTGGAATAATTCGGAGTTAAAATTCTTTAATAAATAGTTTTGCCTTTGGCTATATAAATTATGCGAGATAATGAATATAGCTATATGTTAATTTGCGCCAATTCACATGTAATCTTGGCACCACTTCACTCTGCTTATTATCCACAGATGGCTTAATTAACGATGTTAAATTTTATTTGATACTGATCTCAAATGACTAAAGCCATGTAATAATTATCAGTGCAACTGTTAGGAAGTGCGAAATTTTGAACGGAGGACGAAAATCCTAAAGAAAAGGCGAAGTTTCTAAAGGGGGGCGAATTTCCTAAAGGGGGGAGAGTTTCTTAGGAATTTCGCATCCCCCCCCCCTGGGACACCGGTCCATACGATGACTAAGTGAATGTTTCACCACGAAAATACATTTGCACAAAACAGTTTTTGTATAATTCTCGAGGAATAGAAAATGCACGACTGTGATCAGAGTGTGTATATATGCAGTAGATCTAGGCTTAACCAGGTCACATTAAAATCTCAGTACTTTCATGAATTTGGCGCAGTTGCAATGAGTGTGTCGCCTTTTGGCATTGTACTGCGAATTGTTTCAAGCGCGCTAATCAACAGCCATCAGTTCCGGCGTTGACACATATTGAACAGATATTTCGAGCATGGTTATCTTGCCCGTGTGCAATTAATTAAAATTGCCTATTTAAATTTACTTGAATTTTAATATGTGTCTAACTAGTATATAAAGATCCTGTATAATATTTCTAATTCAGTAATTGTCTTAGCAAGCGATCGCCAACTTTTAAGTACTCAACTGTATTTCAAAAACTCATTAATAATTCATGAGGAAAATACAAAGAAAAATCATAAGCGTGTCGTATCTTAATTTATTATGTGATAGAGATTTCCCTTGATTTACATAAACTTTAAGTTTGATTTTCTCGACTTACACAACGTATTTTTTGAAAATTACTTCGCCAATGAATTTACTAGATCGATCGTTTTTGAAGTACTATTTAAAACATTCGCAGTGCGTGTTTTATCAGACCTAAAGATACTCGGCTTCGCCTCGTATCTTTATAACTGATAAAACACTGCTGCTCATATTTTAAATAGTACATCAAGTCTCAACTAGTTTTCAAAAACCAAGCAATATATATTTGCTCCAATATTCTATTGACAGTAATATATTTCGAAAATCATTTTTTATTCAACATTCAGGTATGCGTTGTCTATATTTATAACTTGATACTAATTTTTACAATAATTGATCAATGATATTAAATTATGTCAATGTCATATGCTAATTTGAATTAGAAAACCTATATAAAGCCTATAAATAATAAAGAACTACTCAGTGTATACTATATACTATATACTACTCAGTGTATACTATAGTCAGTCTGTTTTTTGTTTCTTTGCGTTCAAGTTTTTTCTCATGGATTCCTGGGCACGCTTCAAATGTGATCTTGCACGTTTTTGATTGGCAATTAATCGTTGTTTCTCAACTGCTGAAATGTCTTTGTTTGCCAGCATTGCTTCGGTTGCTTCTAGATCACTTCGTGCGTCATCAATTGCTTTCATGTTGGTGTGCAAAGTGCCTGGCTTCAGTCCTTCAGGCGACTTTCCACCGATTTTTTCCAAAATGCTTGCTTCTGCACTTAGAATGTTGTTTTGTTCTTTCCTCCATTCTTCATCTACTTGTGAGGTTATTTTCTTTCTCGATGCATTTGGGATTTGTCGACATAATTCCTTTACTCGTTTGTTCCAGAATTTCAAATATTCCGAACGCATTCCCCTTGCCTTTCTAACTTCGTCATCAGAGTAGATTTTAATCCTCTTTACTTCCCACGGCGATTGATACCTGAAAGCAGATTTCCATTTTTCAACTTCATCATTGGAAGAACTGGGCGTTTTTGCAGTGTATCCAGTACAAATGTCGTTCACTTCGCACTCTTCAGCTGACGTTACCTGTATTTTGACAACTTTTTTGTTACTGCTTTCGCCATGCTCATCATCAAAGAGTACCACGTCTTCAACTGCCGTGTCTTTTTCCTCTTGATAGGTGACACCAGTAAATGTAAACTTCCCTTCTAGCAACTCGTCTTCGTCGATTTTATTTCTGAGTTCTTCCAAGTTTCTTGTAAGTTCAAAGGCAGGTATAACTGCTACAACCGAGCCGTTGTTTTCGATCTTTATGCACGCGGGCATTATAAATTATGGCAACGGCAAAACTTATAGGATAACTAATTTCTGTAGTTTGGACTTTGGAGAGAATATAATTATAAGAAGCAGACCTCGCTTAAACCAGTTTTTAAACTTGCAAACAGGAAATGCTGTAAACATACCAACATTGCTGAAATTCTTTGTTGTAACACAGGGAGTGTCATTTAAACGTTGAGGAAATGAGATAACTTAATCTATAAGTAGGTGATAATTGTTTTTGATGGCGGTATCGAGTTCTCGAGGTTTGAAAGTCGAGGTCGTGGATAACATATGTCGAGTGTCTAATCCTATACGTACGAATTAAAGTGCTTTATATATATATATATATATATATATATATATATATATATATATATATATATATATATATATATATAACAATTGTTTTGGTGTCCTAATCACAAATACAGCGTGTTTGAATGTGAATTTACGTTACTCAAGGACAAATTACATGTCAGATATCCACGGCTTCATTTCATGGAATGCCCTTGCGAGACTACTCTAATCTTGTTCCTTTAAATTATATAAAGTACTTTATTTTATGTAAGCCCTAATTAGCGTGCATGCCAATATCGTGTGCAAACGCATGTATTTAATTGAACTTTTAACAGTGATGATAAACAACAATTCGAGTGTCAAAAGTGACTCGACATTTTGCGTTACAGAATAAAATATTACTAATTAACTGTACCAATCGTGTATTGAATTGAATTGATTGACTTATATAATATACTAGTTATAAATCACTAGATAAACTTCATTATTTTTTAAAAATTTGATGTCCGGCCTAAATGAGCTTTATTGTATAATTCGTGTGCATGTAAAAAATAGTCATCTTGTACTATATATACCATAATTAAAAAATTCAAAACGAGGGCCATACGAAGTAAAATGACATAATTTAATTTAAAAAGGATTAGTGTTTGAAATGAAGCAACCGTATCCCAACAAATGTGCATGCGCTTGAACAGTTGTTCAGAATTACTGCAGTGAATCGATAGTTTACGTGTAGCTTTTTGATATTAAATGAAACATATGTGGTAAATACAGTATGTATATAAGGCAACAATAGGCATGGTTTTATTTGAACATTGTTTATTTATTCAGAATGCATTCTACTTGCACATTATATCGCAATAAATTGTATGACACTATGCTTTATACAACTTATATTTGTAGTCTAATTATTTTTATTCTGTCGTTCTTTTCTTCTTTTGTAAATAATATACTCTAGGAAATAATCTTTCTGTTTTTACTGTAATTATAGTTATTATACTAATTAATAGTTAACTATGAACTTTAACTAGGGGCCTAAATGAAAAAGCTAGCTGTGAGGGTTTCTAGTAGGTCTCTAGCCCAATATTATTAGAAAAAATCTGTAAATAGTGATAAAGATGTACATAGGGGAAATAATAATAATAAATAAAATAAATTTAAAAAAAATATTTGTGCATGCCAGTAAGGAATTAAAATATTTTGCGTTAAGCCTATTAGCACGCCCTAACCGTTTCCGACACATATGGAATCAGTTAATTACCGTTGAACTTTATCAGAGCACCAGACAACATATTGAACAAGACTATAGTATTATATAGAATATAGCCTAACCACTGTAACCAGTAATGGAACACTCTTTGTTTTTGAAAACTAATTGTGGTAAAATATTTGCGGAAATCAAGAATGTACGCCGTAGTGATACTTTATTGTCAGTTCGGGAACGTGTCGATATCACTGATAGACAAAATTTTAACTTTTTACTCTTTGGGACACCACTGAAATCTAAACAAGAGTCTAAAACCCTTGTGCAAGATTGCAGTGTTTTAAGTAAGTCTGATGGAAACGCAGAAATTACAATTAGAATAATCAACGCGCCAGTTGAGAATATTAAAGCTGTTCATCCGGCCCCATCTCACCCTGCTTCACGGTTATTTGTCAAGACTCCGCAGTCAAAAGTAGTATCAAGCGCTGATTGCCTTCCCGGTGGTAATAAGCCTGTGTTCGAGAAGGGTGCCTTTGGTAATTGTTTTGCTCCACAAAAAAAAATCTCACCGAAACTGCGCAAGTTAGAGGTCTATACCGAGGACGAAATATCAGAAGTGACAGGGCTCCTATCAAAAGAAAAGATGAGATTTCATAATAACATGGTATCGCAAATTGAGAAAGATGAAAGCCTTCAAGGATGGATGAAGCAAGAACTTCTTGGTGTCATAGAATCTTCATGGGTAATGAAACGAACTGAGCTTCTGAAAGTGAAAGTTAAAGAACTGGTCGTGAAAGAACAAATTGTCTTTGAGATTGGAGAAGGAAAAAATATCATGAGAAATCTTGATGAAGTCGAGAAGGCTCACTTCGATGTCAAACGTGGATATGAGAATTTTTGTTCCGATCTTGATAGGAATCAAGGTAAAAGAGAAGTTCTTGAAAAAAAATTTGATGCAGTTTTCAGCAATTTGAAACAAAGTCAAGGCAAACTCCACAAATCTTTAGAGTCATTACACGTTTCAACTCATAACGTGGACAAGCCAGATGGAGACAAAAAAAAGAGTGTTATATATGACGAGCTATCCGATGGCGAAATTGAAAACATCGCTCAAGACATAAAAACTGAATATGAAAGTAATTAATAATTGACAACATGAAATAGTAGCAATGCCAATTAGTAAAGACGCTGAACAATCTATAGTTGTATACTGCATGAAAAATTGTATGTAACATATATTAACTGCAATTGTATATATGATAGACAATGTTTAAGTGTTTTAAATTAAACAATTTTTACTCATCACAAGTCGCATTAACTTTAGCAATTTCCTCTAAGTTATTTTTCCCGGCCACTTACCGTATGCAAGATCTAATCAAAAAGCATGCCACAGGCATTCCCATTGATTGCAAGCATGCATTTAATTACGTGCTGGTGAGTGGGTGGTACATATATGATTAAGCCCATGCATGCATACATGCACTTATATACAGCATTCATGCAGTAGCATAATTCAATCCAAATCAAAGAAAAGGTATTTTCATATGCATAGTTGGCCGGATATAATGATGTCAATGCATATCATATGTATATATATATATATATGTATATATATATATGTATATATATATATGTATATGTATGTATATATATATATATATATATATATATATATATATATATATATATATATATATATATATATATATATATATATATATATATATATATATATATATATATGTATGTTTTACAACCGCTAGATCTATTTAAAAATTGTTGTTTACCGTATAAGCTTATATAACTGATTCAGATCGGATTGCTTTTTAATTTAGGCGACCAGTTGTATGGTCGTCGCACTTGTCTAGTAAACTATAAATTTTGACGGTTACCTGCAGCTGCAATTACCTTCACCAAAATGGAAAAAAAAACTTTAGTCATATATGTATTGTGCATGACAACATTAACAATTTTCTTTTGTCGCTTTCAAGATAATTACAGTTTTTAAAACAAACACTGAGACATCCCGATTGAATACACTGCCAAGCACTTGGATGCCATGGCATGTTTGCGCGTGGGTTGGAAATACGTTTTACTTTTAGACTAACTTTTAGTCTACACTTAATGGCAATTTTTCCCTTGAAAAGTAGCGTTTAAGATTTTAATGATTTTAACAAATAATGTTAATTCTTAAGGCAAATTTAACAATAATGACTAACTCTAGCAATGTTAATTTAGCGCTTGAACAGTGGTATGCATTTTTTGTTGAAAACGATAGCTGGGTGTGACCGACATTTTACGGTTTAATTAACAGCTTTGCATTATCAAGAGGTACACACGGAAGAGACGGATATTTTACATTCATTCAAAAAACGGTGCGTGGTTTCTTATCAAGGAGTTGGTCTAATTAATGCCGAAACCGGTTACACCCATATTTTCAACTTCCCGTTAAGATTGTATAAATGACAGGGCCTGCCATTGTTTAAATCATATAAAACATTTCACTGATTACTATATTTGTTAAAACTACGTTGCTTGACTTGCTGCAAGGCTTGTTCCTATTTTCGATATGTTTTTTGAAGATACTCTGCGAGATATGGCGCTCTTGAAGAAAGCAATGATCGAAAACGATGTTGCTCAGTGCAGAAGTGTTGTTCTAAAGTATGAAAACAAGCTTCGGCTGTTAACTCAACAACGCAATAGTAGCTATAGTTACTCACTTATAGAAAAGGTTGCCGATGACAACCTATCTACTTTACTAATGCCTGAAGATGTCCCAGTTCCACTTGTACCAAAACGTTCTATGGCAAATGGAAATTGCTTATACAATTCTGCATCTATCGCTATCTACGGCAGTGAAGAGCTATGTAATATTTTAAGGCTTCTTGTTGCCGGAGAACTCTACGTAAATGCACGCTATTACGCCAATCATTCTCATTTTCAAACACCATTCACCCAGACGCATTACAGCCAACATGGTGTTTTTGCCCTCACGCTATCGTGTGATTATGAAGATCTTAGTAACAAGGAGAGTATTGTACGCCAAGAGGCAATTGCAACTAGTACACCACAAAAGTGGGGTGCATTTATTCAAGTAATGGGATTGTCCACGGTGTTGGACCGACCATTGTTTTCTGTGTATCCACCAGTGCACGAGTCAATCAGAGCAGTACTTCATGGAAAGGTATTCCCTCGACGACAACAACGTAAATTTCGCGAAACACACAATTCACCACGAGAAACACTTTATATTATGTTTACAAGGGATTCGAACTTGAATAGTACGTCTGGTGTCGGTTTCCAACCTAATCATTTTGTGCCATTGTTCCCAGCAAAACATAGTGAAGTTAAACCATTCTTGTTTGACGAAGATGAATTTCCTGCCTTACGTAGTGGAAACAGCCATGCACAGGATACTTGTAAACGGTAAGAAACTTTTTCATCCGATATTTAATTTATGCATTATGTATCAGTTATAGTACTACTGGCCCTAAATATTCTCAAAAGGCTTGTTCGATTTAAAACATTGATAGCCCATTTAAAATCGCATGAAATCCTTGTCCTTATCGTGATAATGGTATCAGTTGATCATATATCACTAGAGTTAGAGATTATGTAGCCCTTTCAGTCTGGTTGCGTTAAAGATCTATTGGCATAAGCGTATAAATAAAACTGCACAGTTCGAAAATGTCCATGACTAATTAAACTGTAAATTTCGCAAAAATTGTGAAAACCTTATGTACAGGATAAACACCGAGAAGGAGGGATTTATGTCAGATAATGACCCGAGGACGCCCAGCGTCCAAGAGCATTATCTCAATTTATCTGACATAAATCCCGACTTTCGAGGTGTTTATTCATATTTAATTCATGGTTGTGGAGGTTTTCCAACAAAGTTTTGTCTGTCTCGTTTTCATTGAACGACGATTTTCTTACTTTTCCTTGATATTTTCAACTGATTAATATTCAAAGTGGAACTAATCTAGCACTGGTGAAAATAATTTTGAAAATAATCACCTCGGTACATCAAAGAAAACCGACTCAATCATGAATTAAGCAAGCAATGCAGGAGGGTTGTTTTTAAAAAATGGCTTGCGCACAAAAATATCCTGGAGGCTCAAAACGCAATTTGAAATCATAGGGTGCAAATTTAGATGTTTTATGCATTATCAAATTAAAGTACAGACTACTCGATATACATGTCCGACGCGCGACCTCTAAAACTTGGACTTTCTTGCCATAGTCACAGACCATAGTAGCCTTTTGCGCATAATTTTAAAAGTTTTCTTTAAAAAAAACAATCATACTTAAAATCAATCATACTTAAAACCAATCATGCGTTCAAAGTCAGTCAAAAGTCCACGTTTTAGGAATTAGGGGTAGTGTACATCAAGCTGTCTGGTGGCATGCACTTTGACAGTGCATGAAACACCTTCCCTGATTTGCAACCTATGAATTAAAATTACGTTTGAAGCGGCCTTCCATTTTTGTACGGAAGCCATTTTTAGAGTGGTTTTTGACAAAAACAATTCTCCTGTAGTCGAAAACATTTCTTTTCGAAATAATTTTAGTGGTGAAGATACTGGCAGACCCCAGAACGTACCAGACTACCCATGTTTGCATAAAACTAAAATTTTCACACATTTTGTGAAATTTGCAGTTTAGCGGACATTTTCGAACTCTGCAGTTTTTTATTTAACAATATGAAGATCTATTATTTACGCTCAAACTGATATTTTAAAATGTAACCAGAAAGGGCTAACTTAAATTCTGATATCACAGATACAATTTAATACATCTAAAGACAGGTGTTATAAATCTGTCAACAACCCATTAATTGAAAACAATTAGTTTATTCGACGCTTTGCATGCCTTCGCCCTTCAGGTCTTTTTATATACACGTTATAGACTTATAGTACAATAGTGTTTCCTATTAGTATTTCTACTATATATATTGGTATATGAACGTTGTAAATATAAATGAGCTTATAGCTACACTTATAATGACGGGACAAAACTCAAAGCGTTGAAAGCACTAATTATTTTCAATTAATGTGCTGTTGACAGATATTTTATAACACCTTTCTTTATATTTTGTACCATACAGCTTTTGTAATTTTATGTTAGCATTATTATCGTGTTACAGATCTTTCATACCAGACTTAACTCTTGAATTATTTTGACTGAAAGGAATAACCTATATATACCGTCATTATGGATCATTTTAAAATTAACCTCATGAACTATGGTCTTGACAACGTCAGGAGTGGGTCCAATGTCGAGGGTGAGGATAAAAAGTCGAGGGTGAGGGTAAAAAGTCGAGGGTGAGGGTAAAAGGTCGAGGGTCATAAAAAAAGTCGAGGGTCGAAATTTGCGGGCAAAATAACTTGTTTAATGTTGTGACATGGACTTATCATATATATGTATGCAGAACTACATTAACTTTTAAAAGATACTACCTTGCGTAAATTTTCTAAGCGATTATTTTCTAAGCCCCTTCACGCTCGCAAGTTAACATGTTTATGTCTAATATGAGAACGGTCTCTTTGCTTTCTTATCAAATTAACCGTAACGGCATAGATTATCGGGCAGCTGTAATCCTCAAGCCAGTAATGGCAATAGATTAAGGCAAAATATATTACCAATAGCAAGTTATGACAAAAAAAACTTGTGTGGTTTTCTGCTAGATCGGAGCGCGGTTAGCGCGGTGCAGACATGCCACTGTTTCAAGAAACCAATTAACGCTAAACGATTCAGTCAATATTACTCGTCTCACGGCCAAACATTGTCATTGACCAACCTCGCAAGCACACCTGCGGCGGGACGGAGACCTTTGCTTGATGCGAGGTTGAACATTGCCATTGGCCAGTTTATTAAATTATACTACGTTTAGAAACTCTTTTAAGACTTTTAAGTTAATATTGATAATAAATGCTCTTTGACTTTGCTTTTAATGAAAAAATTCCGCCTTTTTATCTAAAAATGCCTTAATCCGAGTGGCCTGGAGACATTACACGCTAGAAGACATGCTGCGTGCGTGAAACTTTTTAACCAGACGACCCAAACCATCAACTTAATGAGTTAGTTTCTAGACCAGAATTCTCCCTTAATTCATGATTTACATAAGGAGAAACACCGCTTTAAAAACTCTTTTATCGTTAGTAGTTGTCTTAGTTGTCGTAAAAATACAACCCTCGACTTTTTTTACGACCCTCGACTTTTTACCCTCACCCTCGACTTTTTACCCTCACCCTCGACTTTTTACCCTCACCCTCGACATCGGACCCTCGACATCGACCCTCGACAAAAACCTAAACTCTTTAGTTGCATGCGTATAACAGCTATCTCAAGTGCCAGTTTCCCGACTGATTTTTGAGCGCTTGATTTGAACTCAGTAATATGTAATTTCTAATAATGATTACCACAAGTTCGACGACTGAATTTTGTTACTTTTTTAGACCCAGTTTAGACGGCGAACTTTTCATGCGCCGAATCTAATTGTCGTAGATACGGCAAAATATCGGAAGCTGATTTAGAAGTCGAACTTAATGTACCGTACGAAATTGCGAGGACACGATATTAGACATATTTACAATGCAAATATATGATAATCATATTGTGATGTTAAAAAATAATTATGCATTAGGTTCGGCGTATTGAAAGCACGGCGTCTAAATCAATGTCGAACCTGTGTCGCATATACGACTTGTCTTGTCGCATCTTCGAGTCATGTCAAACTTAATCAAAACGTGTCGAACTTAATTGATTTAGACGCCGCTCCAGCGTCGCACTTAATTCTTGCATTAGATTCGGCGCATGAGAAGTTCGCCGTCTAAACCGGGCCTTAGATCCATATAGTTTCAATTGCGCTTGTGCATAATCTATTCAATTATGGTTTTACTATAGTTTCAATTGCGCTTGTGCATAATCTATTCAATTATGGTTTTACAGACAGACAGACAGACAGACAGACAGACAGACAGACAGACAGACAGACAGACAGACAGACAGACAGACAAAATATAACATATGAACAGCCTTATGATAAGTTACACCGAAATACAAGGAAACCACACATTGTTAAAAGATCACGTTAGGCGTATGTACAGTATGTAACTTTCTTCACTCTCTTTAACACTTAGAACTCATGCTGCAAATATTACTACGGGATTCTCAAAGAAGAGAAAAGTTAACCGAGAACCAGTAGTTGTTAAAAGAACACAGGAACGTCGGCCGACCTCATCTCAAGAAAAGAAAGGTACGGGCACTCAATCATGTGACTTACTAACCGTTCAATTCCCATCTTTGTCACGTAACTGGTACCGCTCTCAATCATTTAAACTCAGCGATTCTCAAAGCTACCTCACATCGAATGCTTTTGACGAATCCGACGAGATGTCAGATGAACGTGGAATCTTCTCTGACCCAATATCGGTCATGAATCCTTCTGAAATATTACTTCCTCAGACCAACTCACTCCTACCTTTTCCTCGCATGTCAAAAAAATGGTATTCCTTCGTCAGTACTGATGATGATTCGAATGAAGAAGGCACCACTGAAACAAGCCAAAATTCAGTTATTTTTCCCAGACTATCAAAACAATGGTATAAGAGACGCGGAAAGTTATCCTCTAAAAACAACAGTCGAAATCGAATTGTACATGCAGACGGATATTTACAAAAGAATATTGTGGATTTGGAAAAAAAGATTACATTTGAAACAAATAAACATTTGAAAGAAAAATATAGAATTATTCTTGAAGTCGGGAAATATTTCTTAAAAAATGGTCCTATTATAATTGCAAAACAGCTTGGGACTGTATATAATACATACAAAGAAAACATAACGAATAATAAACTGAAGCGACCTTGTCCCAAACATGTCATTCTAAAAAACTAGGAATAAATACAGCCAGAAGGTTCAAGAAGTTGTATTGTACAAGAACATGAACTAAAGGTGATTGTTGACAAATTTATCGTCTGAAACATTTTGTTTATCAACTAAGCAACGACAATTTCCGAATTTTCGTTTGAGATACATTTCTTTAAAAAAAAACTGTGTCGCCAAATATAAAAAATTTTCGTGTTCACAATAATTAAATTTTAGGATTTATTCTGCGATTTGAGTGGGTTAAGAAGCTTAACTTTTCGAACGTTTTCTTAACTTTTTAGTTTGAATTTTTGTTTTGAATAATCTTGCAAAAATTTTCGAAGTCGTGTCCGTTAAAATCAACAATTTTTTACATGAATTATATTTCATTCCATACTTTAAATGCCAGGACGCTTTCAATTAATGTCTAGTCTACCTATTTGCTATATTTTCTCGTTTGTTTTACTAATTTTTGACCAATTAATAAGCATATTTTTGCTTTAGAAATTGATATTCAAATTCCCCGCCATATTTTCATAATTTGGAGCATGCGCAGACGTTTTTCCGCGGTGTTTGGGGGAGCAACCTCTGGAATGTTGTTAATATTTCGCTCTTTCCGAACTTTCTTGAATTGAATCTCTAGTCTGTATTCATTTACAAGCATAACGAACCAGAAAAGTGTTAAAAATTCAGTATAATATATATATAATCATATTTTACAACTGTAGCAGTGAGTTCAAAATGTAAACAAAGCGTTTGTTTACA